ATATATATATATATATATATATATATATATATATATATTAGATAATCGAAACAAAACTTAGAATATATTTAACTAAAGGAAAATCTCAATCAAGAAAGGAGAGGGCATGCCAGCCTATGGGCGACATGTGTGCCCATGGGCCCCACACCCCACCCATGGGGTGTGGCACACATGTGAGGTGGGATCCAAGGGCCGCACATGTGCCCCTACACACTACAAAATTTTTTGAAATACCCTTTTTAAGGAATTTAGAACAAATTAATTTTAAAAAATTCTAAAATTTACAAAAATATTTCTAATGCTAGAAATAAAATATCTAGAAGTGGATTGACACCAATAAGTGGCTGTAAGGGCACTCCACCCGACTTAGTAACCGTAATCCACAATTGTCTTCTAAAACTGATCCAACGAGACCTGTGACCCACAATGTCATACAAGGGCTCATGATTGGCTTGTCAATGCTGGCCACTAAACAGTGGAACCAAGATCCCGAAATGTGAATTACAGTTCTCTTTATGAAGAAGTCAAGCATATGTCACTATAGTGCAAGGGGGATACTCCATGCATATATACACATATCCCTTTTCAGGGTTGCTTCCCGATAGTGTGGCTCTTATATGTACATGTTGTGTGGTAATTTGTTGAGGATTTAGCCCTCTCTCTCGCAAGCCTATATCTGCATATAGGAAATCACACAGTTCTCGTGACCTACAATCCATCCCTAGGTATCTCTCTAACCCCAACAAGGGATGACGCTTTGTAAACCATTTTCGATAGTACCACATACCCAGGGTAAGGGTTTTAGACATGACCAGGGCCATAGACCGCCTAACTCTTGGTCAGTCAACACTCACCCCATTTTAGTGCATAATCCACTATAAATGACACATACAAGCTCTCACGGCCATTAAAGGCCACAAACCCCAACAATGACCTAGACCCGACCTAGGCCCGGGTCCAACTAGGACCCCATCAGGTCAGGGCTGGGTTGGGGTCAAACCGGACCCAACTATCCAGTTTACGCCCCTATGCTTAACCAGTACATTCAAAACACAATGAAACCAAACCCTAATACAAGGCCAGTGTTTACTTGACATACATCCAAGGAAACCTGTAGAAAAGCATTCCTCTTCAACTTATTTGATTGTTAACAACAGTGCCAACACAGATGTTGGTTGGAAAGGTCCAAAATATCAATTTTCCATCTGAGTGTATTTTTCGAACTTTTTGTGTAGATAAAAATCTTGTTCAATTGAATATTGAAAAAAGGAAATTTAAGTGGAAATCCTTTTTTTTTTCAAAATTAAAAAATAGTCCCCCATATTGCATATTTTGCAATCAAGCTCAAAATTTCGAGAGCATATATTGTATTTTAATTTTGTTATTTTTATACATTGGATTAAGCTCAAATATGGGGAATGCATAGGTCTCACCAAAATGCCCGCACAATTCAAAGGTATTTTGGCAATTGTATTTCCTTAGTTTTTTTTTTAATAAATACATGAAAGTGAGAAGTGTTGAACACCCAAATTTTGAGTTTATTTTGATGTATAGAAAAAGAATAGAATTAAAATACACTATAGGCTCTCAAAAAGTAGGACTTCAATGTTAAATATGATATATAGGATTTTTAAAAAAAAATTCAAAAATAAAATGGGATTCTTCTTTATATTTCCCTTGGAAAAAAAAGATACCTCAGCATATCCAGCTTTTTGAGCAAGTTTCTAGCCATAACATCCACAGTGAGAGCCAAACTGGATGAAGCATCTTAAGATAGATATTCTTTTGGGTAAAAGCATCTTAGACAGAGACAGACATGGTTTCGAAGGCAAGCAACCTACAAACATATCCTTCCAACAACTGAAGTGCATCCTGAATTGCTTTATATTCTGCTTTCATGATCACATATGGCATATAAAGGCAGTTAGTCGCTATGTCAAGGATTAAAGAAAATTATTGAGTCTCAACATCAAGTCCTAGGATCTGCTTCTGGGTGTTTTGACCGAAGACTTGGGCCATGATAAGATCAAAATATTTATATGCAAGTCCAGGATGTTGATATTTATGCTTCAACTTGAGAGGAAGCATAAAAGAGGCTGGAAATTTGCTTCAGCATATGTGATTATCCTTGAATAAGGTATTTATTGATCATGTTTTCCTTGACTTTCTTATGGTTCCTGTCAATTATACACAATTGACAGTTCTTTTGTAATGTGAACACTCGTTAATATCAAAGTCAAAGCTACATTTATCCCTCAACTCTTCAGTCTCTTTGATGGGCTAAAGTGGTACAGCACCCTCGATTCTGCAGTTACTGAATACACCCTCAATTTCACTACTAAGAACCCAATTAAGAGGAAGAAGTATGGCACTCATATATGTCAGTTTTCACCTTTAAACAGAACACTCAAACCATCACTGCCCATTTTCCAGATACATATGCACATGTCAACTAATTGGTGATATTGGAAACCCTCACTCCAAAAACAATATTGAACAAGTTATCTATAATTATTGATCTAAAACCATGATAGGAAAGAAAACCATCGTGCACCATTGACATGTTCAGAGGAGTAATAATCAAGATACCTGACGGTCTTGATCATCCATGGGCGTGCAAACAACCGCAAGAAGTTTATCGACATCATCAGCCGTAACAACATAATAGGGTTGATTTGCTCCTGGAATGGTAAAACATTCACCAAATTAAGAGTTCCGAACCAGATGTGAATCCACTTCAAGCAGATAATCTTCTGCCATAAAAATCTCAAAAGCAGGGAGGAGTAATTAGCAATTACCCTCAACATACTGCATTGTTCCATCTGGAAGATGACGAACCCACTAGACACAACAACAAACTATTTGTTACTCACTAAGAAAGGTAAAATGCAAATATCTGCCTCTCCAACTATTTGGGCATGTTTTATTTATTTTTCTTGGGGTACTTCAGCGGTAGGAACCACTAAGGAAAGATACAGTTTGAAGTAAACATCAACAATTCATATTTCACACAGCCATAGTTAGAAAGATGAATACTGACGACGACAAACCTCAAACATACAAGCAGAAGTCCCATTGATTGGATAGCCACATGCCAGCAGTTCACATCCTGGTACAGGATCACCAACAATTTGGAGTCCAGATATTGATGGCAACGGATCCTCATCTACATGAACAATATAAAATAGTTTGATTCTTGCTAAGAAAAATCATATTACTGCTTTTATAGATGAAATTACTAATCACTAACAACAACTATTACCATCCGATTGTGAGTTACCATGCCCTTCATAACCAGTGGAAAATCGCATGCGTGTCCGAGAAGGTGCCGGGACATCGTATCCACTATTCATAGGCTCTTTTCCACCACTGAAAGCAAAACACGACCAATACAGTTGAGACAGCTATCAATCAAATGGATGCAATAAAAATCATACATCTAAAAGGAAAAAAATGCATTTTTCTCCATTGCTACATGAAGTGAAACTCAAAATTGGGACAGTTTCAGTGCCTAGTCCGTAGGACAGGAGGACATTCAAAATAAAATGTTTTAAAGTAAGAAAAGATAGATATCTATCGCATATCACATATTTTTTTGGGCTGAGTTGATGTCAATTTGAATAACATAAAAGAATTCCAAGAAAACAATGTTCTGACTGAAATTAAAGGAAGCTAACAACCCGAGCTTCAATTGCTCTAGGATTTCAATAGAAATCCTACGAATAATGTTTGGAAAAAAAAAAAACAATAATCAACCCTACATCTAAATCCTCTACATGGACCCCTATTTAATAAAAGACCTTACTCAAAACCCAATCATAATTCTAATTGAAATAGAATTCTTAATTTAAACAAAAAATTGTAATGACACATTTATCCCTGATAAAATAAATAATTCCATAAGGACTCTAACTACTTTTCCTAACAGCGCCCACAATCCTAAAAAACAAAAGCCCTAAAATCCCTAAAAAGAAACTTGAACCTCTGAAAATAAACCCTAAAATCACAAAAAATATGCCCTTAAAATTTTATAGGAAAGATTAAGAAATAAGAGGCATCCTCTCCTGCATCAAACTCCCTTAGTTGGAGAAAACTCGTTTTTGAGTTTTAAGGTCAACTATAATGAATCTCGCATCAAATCCATAATATGGCCTTCTCTTTCTTCTCTGGCCTCAAGAGTATACTTTGCAAAGAGAGATCTTCAAGAAACGGATATTGATGTGTATTGAGGAATTGTTACAAACTCGCCAAATCCAGCTACTTGAACTTGCACTGGAAACTCCCATGCATTGAAAGCCTGCTAAATGGGCACAAAAACTTTGGGCTGAGTTTCCGCTCCCTTAGAGGCTTTTTATGAGGAAATCGGTAGGAAAAATCGACAGTCATTTTACACATCGTAGAGATCAGAATAAGCTTTCCAAGGAATACCAATAATAGTAAATTATGAATTACGAGCAAAACTTTCTGCGATATCAAAGTTACAATGCCCAAAATCACCTTGTCTACCACGTGAACCATCCAACCTCAAGAATTAGGTTTCTTTGTGGTTTCTCCACATCTTCATGT